ACTGAACCCTTTATTTCACTCACTGGGGTAGACTGTTCTGGTTCCACATGCCATGTTTAATGGATGTCAGTTATCTCCTGTTAATTTCCCTCTGCAAGTTCTCCACTGCCTTAGCCGGGTATTGAACTTGCACTCTTTGGGTACTGTCACTGGATCTAACCAATGCCTTTATCCACTGTGCGATGTGTCCTTGAGGTATCTGTGCTTTTTCACTTTCAACTAAGAGTGTGGCTATACTTGAATGCTGGGCTAGCTCGAGATACTGGCAACTTGAGCAGTCACCCAGGGCATCATAAAGGCCAAGGGTGACATCATACTGCCATGTCATGTGTTTGGGATCTTCCAAACAAAAAGGAAAAAAATGTGAAAAATAATAAATAAAATGAAATAAAAAACAAAATATTAAATTTCTTGAGTGGAGAAAAATTTTTCTGAATTTGATTATTAATTCTTTCTGTTATGGTGTCATGATCAGAGAACACAAGAGAAAAAAAATGAATATGCAGGCATTATTCTACATTTTCTGTTTTACACCTTGTGAAAATTTTAAAAATTAAACTTGTAGGTGTGCTGATGTTCAGCTTACTTGGGGTGCCAGCAGCCCTAGAGCCAGTTCTGCTTGAATTAATATGGATTAATAAAAGAATAATTAATTGAAAAATTCCATGTCTCATAATAAAGGGTTTCTTATAAAGTATCTATAAAGATAATTATTAATACTACTTGAATAATAGTTTTTATAAGTAGACTACTTACTATTAGTCTGAAGAATTAGTCAGAATTGAAATCCTTGGCATTTGTCTTTTACTATTATGTATGAATTAAAAATGCTTTGTTGAAATAAACACTTATTGTGATAAAACATTTCTTTTATTAATAATTCTTCTTTTATATTATTAAGCTAAGGTTATATTTCTTCACAAAAATTATATACTGAGGCCAATATTTGTGTGGAGAATGTGCTAATCATGCATTATCTATCTTATAATTAGCTAGTTTTTCTTATCACTCTGTTGTGGATTTGAATCAAGCCACAAAAAAGAAAAAGGTGAAAAAGGTTTTTAAATATAAAAATATAAATATTTTTTATTTTCATGTTTTTACATCATGATTTTTCTCAGCATGTATGTGTTAAAGTTCTTGTGTTAAAGTTCCATGTTTGTAGTTGTTTGTTTAGATGAAAAGAAATGTGATTTTTTTTCATTTGTATATGTGAGAAAAAAGAGGCAATGGAGAAAGTGAGGAGGAAAGTGTAAATGTCCCATAGCTTGGTGAGGAAGACTGTATGTGTCATATCTTGGTGAGGAAGACAGGTGAATGTCATATAGCTTGGTGAGGAAGAGTGTACGTGTCACATAGCTTGGTGAGGAAGAGTGTACGTGTCACATAGCTTGGTGAGGAAGTGTGTAAGTCTCATGTAGCTTGCTAAGGAAGACAGGTGAATGTCATGTAGCTTGGTGAGGAAGATGGGTGAACGAGTAAGAGAATTTCTTTGAAGCCATGCACATTATATGTTGCTGTATGTTGGAGTTTCTTCTCCTTACTGATTTGGCCATCTAGAGACTTTACTTAAATACTCTTCAAAGGGATCATTAAGCATATTTTTTATTATCTGTGGGAACGCGACCCGTGGGTTGAAAAATGTCAAATATTTATTTTCTAAGGATTAATTTTTTAACTGGAAGGATGAGCAAATCCTCCAACTCAGGAACCACTTTTTTATCATTTGATGAGTGCGTGTCTTGGTGTCTTATTTCCATCTTCACTCCACATCTCAAACATTCAACAATTTTTTTCTTTAGCGCAATAGTTTGTCTTTCACATATATTCTTTCCAACAACCAAAATATGACACTTTGTGAATAATGTTAAGCTTAGGCTATTTGTCTCAATATTTGAGGACTTGTAGCGTACAAAAAAATGTAAAATGTTGAATTATTTAAGAAAAATAAATTTCAATTGTAAAGTTTAAAATTTCAGTGCCCTCTCTTCATGCGTGTGTGCCATCACATCAATGTAAACATCACTTTAGTCCAAGGAAGTCTTAAAGGACAAAACATGGCACATAAAAAATTTTTTTCCACTTTGTCATTGATTTTGCTAACATTCTTCTGGTATATAAAAAATTATAGACCATTTTCCTATACCCATATATATATATATACAATAATGGCATCCCAAATTTTCATGATCTGGTTCTATAAAGGCAGATAATCTTTAGGAACCTATTCTACTTATTTTCTTTTTAATGTAAGAATGGAAACAAATCACTTCATAGTATCAAAAAGAATTAAACCATTTTGATAATTTAATAGAAAACATAGATTTATTAAGATATTTCCAGATTGAAATTCTGTTTTCATCATATTTCTGTTCAAAAATATGATGGTTTTTGACTTTTACTGTGATCAGTTGTGTTATGGTTCCATTGCCACGTTCAAACTGAATCGCTGAAGTCCCAAATATCCAATGGAAGACCTATTAAATTTATGACTAGAAGATTTGCCACATTTTTAACTTCAAGATTTCTTTTGTAAGAATAAATTACGTTCATCACAGAAAACCCTCTTTCAGCCTCTGCAAAACATACATTATTGATGTTAATTATATTTTTAGCTATTATATATCGGCTATTAAAATATAAGATTATTTTCAGATAATCCAACAACCAGTTTGCTAAGCTTTATAATTTTAAGTATTGGCTCATGTAAACTGGTAGGAAGCTACTACTGTACACACACACATATATATATTGAAAGCGCATGTTTTCCTTTCATAACATTTTTTGAATATTCAGGCTGGTAAATGAAAATAAATAAATATACTGTTTAATAAATATTGTCTACTCAAATATGAGTATCCACTAAAAATAACATTTAAGTAATAAAATCAGTTGGATTAATAAATAAAAATCCATTACTTCTTTAGAAAATTGCTTTGTTTACGTTTGGATATAAAATTGTTCAGACATGAAAACTTTGAGAAGTCTATCAAGCAAGGAATTTTGCTTAAAGGTGTGGGGTCAGTTTACCTGGATTTTAGCGGGGAAAATAAAATCCAAATGTCATGTACACAAATACAGCGTAAAATTATAAACAACACAAAGAAATGATCTTTGCAGAAAAGGAAGAAGACCAAGCTTAATATGACTGTAACATTTATACACCCAGATACATGTATTTATAAATTAAATATCAATATGCTTTGTTGTGGTCATGAAGGGACCAATAGTTTGATTGTTCGAAATGATTTATCGCAAGTAAGTCTGCAAAGTTTCAAAGTGGTTTTGTGAAGAAATCAAGTAGTAGTGTATGCCAATATGTGTGTGTATGTCAATATGTGTGTGTATGTGTGTGTGAAGCAAATGCGAATGAAACGTGTGTGACTGCTGACTGACTGCATGCGCTAGCAGTAATTTAAAACACAGTGAACGTTGTGGCATTGTATGTAGAAAAAGTATCGGGGACAGACATGTTGTCATGGTACATGTGTCTAGGTTGTTGATCGAGGCTTGGTCTGGTTTACTGTCTTTTGCAAACTATCCTTCACTGACTGTGTCATAGCAGATTTGGTTGCTGACTCTTGCTGATGAGCCGTTTTTAATGCTTTGGGTTAGTTCAGAATCACTATTTGAGTTTTGCATGGGAATGTACTCAGTATCCCGGGCCCCTGACCATTTCCGTGTCATTTGGAGTTCAACTGCATGGATGTAATAGAGAGCACATCATGTGACTTGTCATATCCAATCAGGTTCCAGAAACCGCTTATTTAATTTGTAGCCATATTTGTGCAGAATTGTAAAAAAGTTACTTGTATTTACTGAATTTAGTGAGATTTATTTTTAGGCATCTCTTGTTTGTGTTTCACTTATTGGCTGTAAGATATAAAGGCATTATTCAACATTGCCTAATTGGCTAAGTTGTCTGCAGTTCAGTCAGTCAAGAGCATATCAGATCTAAAGATGGTTAACTCTGCACTGAGGCATGTAGGTTCAAATCCTGTCAGAGAAAGCATATTTCTTCTTTAATAAGGTTTCTCTAATATTCAGGCTTATAGACAAAAATAAATGAATATACTGTTTAATAAATAAACAGAGTGTCTACTCAAATATAAATATCCACTAAAAATGATGTTTAAAGTGATAAAATCTGTTGGATTAATAAATAAAAATCCATTATACTTTAGAACACACACACACACATATATATATACATATATAACGTCATCCACAGACAGACTGTTTCGCTGTTTCACAGCTCATCAGTGTGGCTAGACATCCGGTTGCCTCTAGCTAGGATCGAAACCCGACTGAATTGGTGTCAGTCAGAGATTCTAACCATTAAGCCATATATATATATATATATATATATATATATATATATATATATATATATATATATATATATATATATATATATATATATATATATATATATATATATATATATATATATAGGACCTTGATCCAAGGCAGGAATGTCAATTCATATATAAAAAATATTGTCATTTTCTTTTTCTTTTTTTATACCAAGTAAGTTAGTAAAGTACATGAATTATGAAAAAAATAAAACTGTAGCCAAAGGTATAAAATATAGATATTATACTTTAATTTTTTTTTTATTACAGAAAATGTTAAATATTACTAAAAATAGACTATTATTTAAAAAGTTTTTACAACTTTTTTTTAATTAAATGGATTATTCTTTTAAATTCCTAAACCAAACAAAAAAACATTATCAATTCTTGTCAGTAAAAATAAATCTTACTTGGGAAGGGTTAACGATAAGTAAAACATTTTAAAAATATTAATAATTCGATGAAATTCTATCAGAGGAACATTTTTATTTTGTAAAAATGGTAATAAATCAGAAGTTGCTTGTTTTGAAACAGCAAACACGATTTATTTTTTGTTTTGTTAAAGTTTATTTTCCCGCGTTTGTTATTATATGACCAATCAGAATACAGATCGACTTGACACTACAGAAGAGAGAAAAATTAAACATGCCCAAAGCAGAGACGAAAGCTTTTCTTGATGATGGACCGAAACAATATTTTATGCTGATAGACAGTAAGAAAACAAAATGCACTCGTCTTTTCTACTGTTTACAATTGTATTTCTCAATTTTCTTACTCCATATTTGCATGCAGTTCAGTCCCCGACCCAAAAGAATTACGCACATGTAAAAATTTAACTTGGTTGAGTTAAAGTACATACACTGTGTACACATCTACGATGTCTGGTGGCCATAAATTGAATTTTATGCGACGAAAATAGATTCCGTTCTTTTATATTTATTTAAAAATCAAGTGAATATTGTTTTTATTGTTAGTGGCGGTTTTATCTTAGTTTTTTGTCGCCGGTGAAAGCGACATTTTTTTTTCTTGTGGATGTTCCATGGTACTAATCTTCATATTGTTGCTTGCAGGAGCGCATTTTTCGTAACTGTTTATTTTCTTTTATTAATCTTTCTTTCTTTTTTTTTTTTTTAATTAATGCTTTTTAGTGGTTTTTAAAAAAGTATTTCATGACCGTTTTCTACTTCTCTTTACTTTTAAAATTTAAACAATGTTAGTTTAAATTTCAGTTGAAATATTTTTAACGTCAACGATTTTGCGATGAGACAAAAAAAAACATTTTTAGCTTTAAGCTTACCACATGCCTTTTTTTATGAGTATGTTTCGGGGATATAAAGCTAAAAAAAAAAATACTATTCTTTTTGTTTGTCTATGTGTGTAGTGTACGTGTCCGCTCTGAAGTTTTAGGTGTTGGGTCACGAAAACTTAAGTAAAGATAAACATGAAAATTGAAAAAACTGTTCCGATTTGACTCCTGGAAATTTTTGCTACGCTTACCTAATAAATACAATTAATAAATAAATACTATACTAGTATTGCTTTTTTTTTTTTTTTTAGTTAAAGTTTAAACCAAAGAAATTATTTCTATCTCGGTAAAGCTAATGTTGACAATCAATGGTTTGGATTTTTACTCAATGAAAAAAATCGAACTCATTCATTCTCTGCGGAATGGACTTGTAAATCACAATTCGTCGGCAATAAAATTACCAGTATTCTACTATTTTCTATCGTTGTAATAAAAATATTTCACTGTTTAATAGATGTAATTAAAACTTCATTTAGTTTAAGAATAATATTGTGTGTATTATTACCGGTGAAAATAAGATCCATTTTAGTCAAATTTTGGTTTGACTATCGTTTACCGAGCACGCGATCCTGGAGGAAGACAACGACTTGAATAATAAATAAATGGAATTGATAAACACACGTACAGTGCTCATATGGTGAAGAATGAATTCAAATAAAAGCTAATAATTTAAATAAGATAACCTTCAATTTGCAATTATACTTAGAATTCAACCTAAATTATTTGAATTAAAAGTAGTAGCTAAAGAAAGAAAGAAACTTTTTTTTTTTATGGTGAATCGATTGTTCAATGAGGCTTAAGGTCGTGTGTGTACTCGTAAAATTATAATGATGAACATATTGCATCACGACTTTAGTCAATTTTTAGGCTTATTCCATTTTTAATCACTTGTTTTATTCAAGGCAAGTCGTCTATCTCTAGGATCATGTGCCCGGTAAATTAGTCAAACCAAAGTTTTAACTCACTTGTTGGACAAACCTTAAAGAAACTTTTTTCATGAGATGACGTTCAAGAAAAAATGGTAAAGAAACACATTAAAAATCATTTTTGTTACTTTGATGGTATTTTTGAATAAAGAAGAAACTTTTTTTTTTTCAAATTCTGTTTAAATGACATCAAACTAGATGGTATATTAGTCACTAGTGAATTTTTTTGAAGATGTGCATTTAACAATGGAAAGATTTTGAATTTAACATGAGAGCTAGTAAAATAACAAATTTTCAGCACGTTTTTTTTTTTTTTTTATGACAGACATTAATTTGGAAAATCTTGCAAAAATAAAAATTGTTTGATGTTAATGAAAGTTTCAGAAACTATTCACAATCTATGGAACTCCCTTCCCTTTACTTGCTTCCTGATGACTATAATCTTCAGATATTCAAGTGTAATGTCAATCGACATCTGACACCCTGAGCTTGTTCCCTGTCCATCTCTGTATCCTTTCCTCAGATATGCCTCTTTACTCTTGTTCTCAATCCTTTGTAACCCCTTGCATGCTAGTGGCACTCTAGCCTTGCTTGGGGTGAATTGCCTTAAAAAAAAAAAAATCCCCAAAATTCATATCTATAAAACCCAATATTTACCGATGTGTGTGTCTGTATGTGTATCACTTTTCTCTACATCACCAGAAGTGTCCACTACCGTGGTGTACTGTAAATTGTCTGTATTGACATCATTTTTTTTTTTTTTTAAACCCATTTCACAATAAAAGTAACCTTTATTTACCATATTTTTCTCTTAATCTGGAAGTTCTGTCAATCTTACTTTATAGTTTTATGATTAAATGTATAATTATTTTGATGACTTTAATTTAAAATGATCACACAAGATGGGGTAAGGGGGTAATAATTCCACAAATCTGTCACTCTGTTTTTTTTAATTTAATTGAATATTCCAATTAATATTTTTAATTACATTGAACTATATTTAGGCCAATGTGTTTTGAAGTGCAGGATAAATTTTTCTTGCATGGGTGTGTGAATTTTGGAGATAAAGGTTAAGAAAATGCATTGTAAGAGATTCTATTCAAATATTACATTAGCATGACACACTAAGACAACAAAGATAGGGATACTGGATTAAATAAAGACAATTTAATTTCAAAATTTCACATAACCCTTATAAAGTTGAAGAACACATAAATTAAAATACAGTGTGGCAGAAATATCTCTCACATAATAAGATATTAGCAAGATTAAAACATCATTACCACTATGTGGGAGGTATTTGTTTCACCCTGTATAATAATCAAAACAAGATAGTGATACTAGTTAAAGTAATTTATAGAATAATGATTATTTTTGTTTTATGATTTTAGATAATGCCTGGAAAGCTAATGCATACACATATTAAAATCTAGTGATTAAAACAATAGAAATGAAGATGTCAGCTCAAAAACTCTTAGAAGATGATAAATTTTTGTCCTTTCTTTTCCAGAATCAGCCTTAACTGTAAATGAAAATGTTGAAAATAAACCTGCATTTTGCAGTCTTCGACATCCACTCACAGGTAGATACAATTTTATAATTTTCACTTTTCATTTTCATGTTTTTTTGTTTTTCTTTTCTCATTTGGCAGAATGCTTTATATAATCCCCCCAACCTCCTTTTATTTAGCAGCGATTAAGATGTTTAAAAAGTTTATATTGAGAAATTACTTATATAATAATGTTATCAATCAGTTTATTCATGATATCCTCTCTTAAAATAATCCTAAACCAATTTTTGTAAAAAAAAAAAAAAAAAAAAAGTACAGATCTCCACTTTATTACAAAAGATTTTGATTAGAAGATATATTCAATTAGTGAAAGTATATGGAATAATCATAACATAATTCACAATGGAAGAAAAAAGCTCTACTTTATTTGCATTAAAAATGTTTTTATCCTCGAATTCAGTGGATATTGCCCAAAACTTCAAGGGAAGTAATTGAAAAAGAAAATTGGCATTTTTTGCATCAAATTTACACCTTCTTTATTGAAGACAACCTAGAAATGTTACGATTTTTTTATGCATAAAGTAAAAATACTCTTATTGCATTCTGTGTTGAATGCTATGGCCTTATTTAATAAATTCAAAGTTGATCTAATAACTTCAATGTTCATATTTCTTAATACATTGTTTTGGCAAACATTTTTCACCATCCCAATGCACTTTCTGATTTCTGTCTCATATTTTCTGTTGTTTGTTAAACTACTTTCCAGATAGTTACATTTTTGTATTTGGTTTTCACATCTCCAATCTGTGACTCAAGACTAGGGTTTTTTTTTTTTTTTATTTTTATTTTATTTCTTTTTTTTTATTTAAAAATTGCACTTAATGTAGAAAAACATGTTGTTAAAATCCCATTCTGAAATTTCATTATTTCTTTTTTGCTTTTAGTTCACCATGTAAAAGGAGGGATCCATTTTGATTCGATCTCTTGTCTCTGGTCTTATTTGTTCAGAAGAGATTTTAAATGTTTTGTTTAGAACAGATAATCAAACTATAACAGCAGAATTTAAAACAAGTAGAAACTTATTGACGAATGATTTGCATTATCATGTAAATGTAATGTAAATTCTACTCTATAACTGAACTCCGAAGGCATTGAGATATATATATATATATATATATATATATATATATATATATATATATATATATATATATGTGAATAAAGACAAAAGGAAAACTTAGCTGATGGGCTTCATCCTTTGAGGGACTTTATCAAAGGCAAATGTAAGGATTTTATTTTTGTGACAACTATTTATATACAAAGCAAAATGTTATTGGTTTTTCAAAATTTTTTGGTAGAGGATTGCTTATGAATATTCATCAGGTTAGTGGAAAAGTCAGGCAAGTTCATGGACATGAGGTTATATATATATATATATATATATATATATATATATATATATATATATATATATATATATATATATGTGTGTGTGTGTTTATATTTATTTGATTTAGTGTTAAAAAATAAAACCTAATGATAAAATATAAATATTTTGCAAAAATTAGGCCCAGAGGGTGTGTGGCCATAAGCAATAGCTTATTTAGCTTATAAGTAAGTCCAGAACTGTTCTCACTGTCTTGTACCATAGATTTTACAAATGCACCTGTCATTTTTCTGATAGAAAAGATGGTTGTATAATTCTAACATTTTAGTTGAAAAGACGTTTTTGTTTTTTTGTGTTTTTTTTTTAAATTGGTAAAACTATACTTTCTCTCTATAATAATTTGATTTGTCTTTCTTCATATTTTGATATATATTTATTTATTTATTTTTTTTTTTAAGAAAAGAAATGCATTTTTCTATTCACCCATTCCAACACAAATGTCTTTGAGGTTCACAACTTCAAGGAAGAATTCCGATCATGGATGATTAATGATTCTGTTGTCCAAGGTATGTATCCAGGCTAAAGGCTACAGTTTTCTTTCTCTAACCCACACCAAATGAACCTGTCTTCTATACATATTAGACAATAATTTATTTTCAAAAATTCCCTTACCAGAAACAAATTCTCACTGTGAGACTTCTACATAAATATCTGTAGCAGACTAATGGCAAATCCAAATGCCAAATAACTCCAAGTGAGGTTGTATCATCTAGAGAAACAGTTCTATTTTTTTTTTTTTTTTTTTTTAACTCTTTGGGAATCCTTAATGTAAACTCCATATCTCAGAGAATCTCCACATAAAAATAATTATATATCTTTATTATAAAAACATGTTTTATAGTAAATATGTTTTTATAAGAAAAGCATATATCTTTTATTAATCTTTTTCTTCCATTATTTTTTTTTTTTTTTTTTTTTTTTAAGTTAAATTTTTAGGTTTATAGACTAAAATAACAAATCAAACTTCTTGTTCAAGGTGTCTGATAAAGAAGTTTTCATTTGCACAAGCCCCGACTTAAGATTAGGTTATAGGTAGAAAATGAGATTGATATCTAAAAGCCGTTCTATAAACGCTATAGATTCTCTTGTAGCATCATGAAATGAATTACTGCTGTTTATATAGCTTAATTTACACTTTTAAAGAAAACACTTAATAAACTCACTTGTTCTCTCCCTTTCAAAATCACATCTAGAATATTTATATTTCGCCATGAATATTTTAGAACAGTCTCTCTTAGACTGTTTTTATTGCTTATTACTGGCATATTTTATTGATTTTCTTTCTAATGGGCCAAGGAATAGTAAAATATCTGTACCACATTATAACTCGTACACTATCAGTAAAATATTGATTAAACATTTGTATTGTTAAATGTTATCATAAAAAAATATAAGTTAAATTTTTAAAATTAATCTTTTCATAAACAATTAATACAACATTGCAAATTAAAGAGAAATAAGCAAACTTTCTATTAAAATATAAAAAGGAAGATGCTATAAGAAATAAAATGAATAAAGTAGATTACAATAACAATTGTCATGTTTCTGATATAAAAGAAAAGCCATTTTTTTTTTTTTTTTCATCCAATCTTTATTCAATTGAAGAGTATGAATACCTGTTATATTTGTTTTTTGTCTGAGTGTCTCTCGTGGCTGAGAAAGAAATTTCAATGACCACCATATATTTTACTTTTATTTTTATCCAAAAAGAAACAAAAGGTGCTGATGTTTTAAGAATCTTTTTTGTTATTAGCTGCATTCCATTGCTGACATTCATACCACATGAACTGCCTTATTGAATACAGTGCGTGCATTTATAATAAAAATTATGCATACAAAATTAAGCACATCAAATCAATTTAAAAAAATACATTTGAATATAATTAGCCTATTTATTACTATTTCTCATGGAACCCCGTTATGAAATGCTGGCCTAGAGGATAAGTGTCTAGAGACAATTGGTAACGTTGGACTCTTGTGTTTGCTAAGCTTTGTTCCATTTCTCTCTTCATAAGATCTGCCCAGACATTGTCTTCAAACTGAAAACAAAGGGTTGAACTAATTAACCCAGTTTTGATTGTCCCCTCTTGAGCCTTTTCTCTTTCCCTTCCTTTTAAATTTTATTCCCTTTTTAATTTTGCCTTAATTTTGAGTTGTTTTTTCCTCTTTTTATAGGGTTTAGGAAGGGGTTACTCAACTTTACACAAATCATTTCCAACACAAAAATGAATGCTTCATGTTACCCTGTCAGTGTTGATAGGTCAAGTACTTGATTTTATGTGCATGTTTTTTTAGATACTTGATAATGTTTTATTTTGTTTTCAGATGGCTCTTTCCTGATAACCACGCCTATGGATCCCTTATTCCTTGTGTTGCCTTATCTCCAAAGTGCTGAGAAAAAGGTCAGTTATTTTTCATTTAGGTTTTCTTTATCCTTTATTTAGTTGCATGCTTTAGTTTAGTCTATATACTAGTGTTTGAGTTTGATTTTTAAAACTGATATTTTTATGTAAAAAATATGAGAGTTGACTTCTACATTAGTAAGGTTATAGAATTTCATCGCTTCAAATTGGATATATTTTGTCACATTGCAATAATCATAATGTAAGTCTGATTGTTCCTTGGTTAGTTAGTATATATGTTGTGCTCTGCCAAAACTTCCTAAATAATGGGCTATTCCATTTTGATAGTGAGGGAGGAAAAATGGAAAAAACCTCAGAGGCTCTGTTTGGTTTCAGTGAGAAAAAGAAAGAAAAGATGAAGCAATAATCTTTATGTGTTCACATCTGTTTCAGTGAAAGGAAAAGAATTGTCAAGTTTGAATGTTTTCATTTGTATCCTCTTACTTCTTTAAATAATGACCTGCATTCATATTTATGGTTGTTATTGCAATATTTTGTTAACATTGTTAAGCTCAAATATTTAACAATGTAATAGGGGAATATCTACTGTTTTATAGTTGTGGAACTCACCATGAGCTTATTCAGTAATTAACTTAAGAAGTAAGATTCATCAGAAACTTAAAATAGGAAAAAGGAAATTTTCATGGATATTTCTAGTATTTTATAATTGACTTGAATATTTGAATGAAAATTAAGTTTCACTGCAAATTTCTTTCATTTCATTGTAATGTTCAGCAACTGACACAGTTTCACACTCTGACTCTGCTTTATGATACAACATGGAAACTTTTAATGAAAGTTTCCAGAAATGTTTTAAATGCCATGAAATATGATGCTTTCTGTCCCTAATTTCTTCTATTACCTTCCAAAGCTGGAATTGACCTTTTACTCAATGCATATTGCAAATTAAGGTTTTTTTTCTTCTCAAAACTCAAGGGTCAGCCTGTATACATAAACCCAAGAAAGGCCAATGAATTCATAGAATTTATATAGAGCCATCATCACTTTTTCTTTTTTTATGTTTTGAATTTTTAGTATAGTATTTAGTATTTGAAGGTTTTTTTTGTTTTTTTTTATTTGACTGTGATTTTTATATTGTTGTTTGCAAAATATACTAACTGTATTTAGAATAATTAATCTGTGTAGATGTAAACCAGAAAACATTCTTCTGCAAAGTTTTCCTAAAATTTGTAAGATCAGTTTTTATTTTATTTATTTTTTGAGCCCACACTTGACCTGGCTCTTTCCCTAGTCTTGTTTATTTGAAGGTAGCATTTGACAAATAATCTTATTTATTCAGTTATTTACAATCATCTGATGTGATGTTTTTTTGACCACAGTTTATTTTGCTTTTCCTTATCAAAAAGTAACAAAAAACAAACTTTTTTTATGTAATAACACATGCTTTTTTTTTTCTTTTTTTTTAAGTAGAATAAAAAGTTATTTTTCTCTTGAATGCTTAGTCGTTCTTCTTGAATAGTTTTGTTTATCTTTATTTTTCTGTCTATAGACATTGAATTTGATTCGTTTGTTGGTTAATATAGTTGTTCATAATTTTTTTTTTCTCTGGGCCACATTTTCAGAATGGAAATTTGCTTGCACCTCACCAAATTTTATGTGATAAAAAGTACATTTAAAAATAAAAAAAAACCCAGATGGTTAAAGGGAGATAACTGTAGATTCGAAGTCAGAACATTATCATTGACAACTCTCCCCTCCAATTTACAGAGCATAGTTACTATATTCTTAATACTTGATATAATGCAAAAATATCACAATGATAAAATTGGTTAATAATTATTTATAACTATTTATATTGGGACTCATGCATGGAATTACAAGTAATCAAGAAAAATTTTGAAATCATTTATTTTTGGCATGAATTTTTTAAAACTTTCTAAATCTTTGATTGTCTTTCAATCATTCCATCTCACCTGTTATCTTCTGTTACACCTACGAGGCGCACTGTACTGTTTTGGAACCACTGATATAGTTAATATAGTTTTAAGAGGATTAAGAAGACCTCCCAGAACTTATTCATGAATAGAATCTGAAAAGGATATATGACGTTGATGGCAGCTTTTCAAAAGAAAAGAACTAATAGGTAAGGTAGTTAAAGAAAGTATGAAGCAAGGACTCTGCATTAATTGTAAGAAGATATAATGCCAGGTTGTCAGTAAAATGAACAGCCCAAGGTGTAAGCTATGTGTTGTGGATATAATAAACTAGCTGGTGCAATAATGTTTTGGTAGTATAGTACTAGACAATAGAAAGTGTGACTAATTTAAAGATTTAGATCAGTAGATTTCTTATGCTTTTCAAAAACTGAATAAGGTATTCAAAGATCAAAAATGCTATTAAAAACAAAAGAGTGTTATATAATGTCTAATCTCTTATATTGCAGTGAATATTGGACAACTTTGTCACAAATAAGAAAAAAAAAAAAAAACTTGAAGTGTTAAATGTGGTTCTACCAACGATTGTCTTATATCATGCCAAGAATATGGGGGGTGGGGTAGAAGGAAGTTTTAAGTAGAATAGGAACCATAAAAATTGTTGCTAGCAATCAGAAAGCAACAGCTAAGGAAAGAAGGTTTAGAGAATTTAATATTTCTGGGGCTCATCAATGGCAAGAGACGCAGAGGAGAGCAACAAGAAATTCACTTGACAGTTTAAGCAAATAGAACAAATAACACAAATTGAAGTGTCATGAAGGAGAAAAAATATTTGAGAGAAAAATTGTAAATGCCCATGACATATAGAAAAAGTATGAAACCTTTAGAGCATATGGTATTTAAAAAACAAGGACAATCTTGTTTGCTTAATAATTCTGTAATTCTTTTTGCCTAAACAAAATTATACTATGTACTCTATAGATGTTAGTGGGCCAAGAAATTATATTTACTTGAACTTTTGTTTCCAGACTGGCAAGTATATGACCCTTGATCACATTGTAGAAGATGAAGAATTTCCAGAAAGCCGGCGCTTGCATGACAGTCTTAGAGTCAAAGACCTTTCTCATGTTGCAGATGTCAAAGGTGAGAAGCTAAAGCATGAAAACATTCCAAAATGACAATAAATCTGTAAATTTATTTTTAATTTTATTACTTTCTGTAACTAATCTATTCCTAATTTTTTAGTTTTCTACAAAATAAAAAAGAATAAGGGGAGATAATATATCCAATTATATCCCCTTAACTTTCTTGTCAGTATTACAATATTTTCTTTCAATTTTCTTTCTGTTTTTGTGTACCTCGACATCTTTTGACATTTTCCTCATTTCTTTTGTAGATAGCAATGATTTCCAAGCATATCGTTATTCTGAAGAGAAAACTTTACAATGGCTTCAATTGAAAGTGAGTAGTTCAGTTTATCAGTTAATGTTAGCTTTTAGTTACGGATCCTTTTAAATATTAGATTTATTATTGTGTACATAGAAAACTCTCGGAATTATTTGAAGAGGTAAGATATGGATTATTATAATAATTGGTTTGATCACTTTTTATATTTAAAAACGAGTTTTTCTCCATGTGATAGTAATTTTCTTTGAGATTGCAAGAGAAATGCAAAAAAAAATGAACTTAAATAATGTTAGAAAAGTTATTAAACATCATTGTATCTGTTTATGAGGATTGTTTTAAAAGAATAAAATTAAAAAAAATCTCATTGGAGGATTTTTTTTATCTTTTTTATCCCTCCACATTGGAGGAGAAAAAAAATTAAAACAAAAGTTTAAGATAACTTTTGTTCATTTTTTTTTTTTCTTTTTAAAACAGTTACTTAAAGATAAGATAAAGCTGTAATGTACTACCAACAACAGAGTTTTCTGGTAGAAATTTATCTTGAGAAAAAAATAAATACTATTTAGTAAACTAATTTTAAATAACTCCTTTAGTCACAAAAAGAATGTAGGAAAAAGAGCTGATTCTCTGTTCAACACAGATTGTCTGCATGTGACTTTGTATGTGCATATGTAATGTTGTGTGTGAGTGGCTTACATATGCTTGTGCCATGTAATTTACACACACACACACATTATTTGACTTTGAAATTAGACTAATACATTCCCCTTCCACTCAATCTGGACAACTTTTTTTATGGGCTGAGCAATAAAATCAAAATTGGAAACAAGAAAAAGCACTATTTTTTTTTTTTTTAAGCTCTTAAAAATCAGATTTTATGAACCTTTTTGGAAACCATTCAGTAAATAAATAAAAAAAATTAAGCTTTTTTTTCACCTTAATTTTGTAGAAGTATTTTTATGTTTATCATTAAATTAAAATGTGTATATACAAATATGCATTTAGACAATTGGAATAAGATTGAAATGGGCATCTGTATTGCAAGGGCTAATTTCTCTTTCTGTCTGGCAAAAATCCCTGGACAACAGGAAGTGTGACCCCTTGATGTCATTTTATAACTCCTGTCTTTAAACAGGATATATTTTCCTATAAATGTATTTTAAATAGACAATAAATTTAGATTTTAAATTTGATCATCTTGCTGTCAGCAAAGTGATGGGTAATAAAGCAGTAACTATACAAAAATGAATCGCATTTGGTTGTTTCCAAGAAATGAACTGCAATATTTTGATTTCCAACTTTTGAATGTTATATTTTTGTATTTCTTTTTTAAAAAATAATAATAAAACCATCCATTGGTAGGGCATTGTTTTTCAGCTAACAAAGCATTATGAGCATATGCTTCTATTAAAAGATAGCTATTTCTTTTGGGTATGAATTCATTGGCAGAATATAAAATACTGTTTATGATCACTATATTTCAGCTAAAGCAATCTATTTCATGGTATATGTAAGTAAATAAACTTGTAACTTAATGATTAACAAAAATTTTTTTTACTTAAATGTTTTTTCAACAATCTTTTAGATATTACCTACCTTTTTAATATTATACAATAAAAATTTCAGATCAAAGTGCAGCTCATTATTGGGTCAGACTCGAAACATTACTTTTGTTCATATGCCTTTTTTTTTTTTTTTTTTTTTTTTTTTGAATAGAAGTTTTAAATCTGAAGTAGCTAATGGTCAAGTATTTTCCTGTAATCAGTTTAAAGAAAAAGAAAAAGAAACTGGTGACAAATCTACAGAAATCTTTGGTTCCCATATCTGGAAACTTCTAGGAAGCTCAGTTGAATGAACTATATAACTGAGGAAAGCCAAAGAACATATTGATTGAATCATTGTGATAACACAATTGAATAGTCATATCATATCTGATAATTTCTTCTAATATTTACCCACAAGCATGTTTTTTCAGAGTTTTAAAACTGTCTACAGGACAAGGTTACTTTGAAAAAAAGTTGTAGAATAGTTGAATTTTAACTGGCTTTTTTTTTGTGATGGTTTAGTTTTGGCTTAGCCACTTTCATTTCATTTTGTCTTGCATTTATTCTTTCTTTTCTCTTAGTAATTAAAGTAATTTACTACTGACTGTATTGTCATAAGTCTGAGATTAGTTTAAAATAAGAATAAGATTTAAATATCCTTACATTATAAGACTTACTTTAAAAAATGCTCTGTAAGATGAGAAATCAATCCCTTTTTTTTCTTTTTTCCTTCTCTTATAACTAAAGACCTCTATCTTGGTTTCATATACAAATGCATTAAAAATAAGAAATTTTACATAATGTAAAAAATACCAAATATTATGTCTTCTTTTTTCTGGTTGGGTACATGGACAGATTAGTCTTTGAATGTTTATAAGGTGATATAGGAACAGTCTTGTTTGTTATATTTTTATTGCTAAAAGGAAACAATATCTGACTTCTGAAAAATAACCTTTTTCTTCCGTTTTTTTTTGTTTTTCTAATTCAACAGTTGAATAGAGTTGCAGAGGTTTTATGCAATAACAACATCCAAGTATCTGAAGGAATTGCCTGTTCTAAAAATTTTGTAAAATCCAAGAAAGAAGGTTCTAATGCCAATCAAAGTAAGAAATTGTTTTTTAATCTCATTACTTCCAACTTTTATATTCCCAACCCAAGTAATTAAGACTTTGGCAAAGAATACATACCTGATTTTGCAAGGGATGTTAGAAAAAAAAATGTTCTTTTAATTTTATTGATTGATAATAGCTACAATCTAAGTAGACTTTAGGCTACAAATGTCCACATTTATCAGTTTGTATCAGTTTTATTCCAAATCATCGTTGTTGTAGCATAATGTGTAGAGTAATATTTTAGTGGATACAGTGATGGTGGCATTTTTTTTTTTTTTTTTTTTTTTTTTTAAATAAAACATTTGGTGATAAAAGTATATGTATGGTGGATGGGAGGGATACAGTAATCTGAAAGCAATATCTGCTGATAGTTTATGAGAAATATTTCTCTATTTATTTGAAGTGTATGTTCACATCTTGAGCAAACATTAAACTTTAACCATTATATGGAATAAAATGATTTTTAAAAGATTTGGTTACTTTAGAAAAAAAGCAAACTTCTGTGACTTTGACAGATAAAATGCAAATGACAAACATGGATTTTCATGCCCACAAAGAAATGAAGTGTCAAAAGGATAGTTTTTTCCATTGACAACACTTATTTTAACCACATTCACTCCTCGGCAATGTTTGTTTTAAAAAATGATGATTAGAATTGTAATAAAACATGAAAGTGAATTTATATTTCTTTGTTCCTGAGAATTGACAAAAATAATAAATACTTAGCTTGTTTATTGGAATGTTTGGTAACATGCCGGTTAATTACCAATTAATTTAAACATTATAAAATGGCAAATAGAGATTTCCTTATAGTTCACATTTTAATTAGTAAATGTTTATAAATTTGTGAATAAAAAATTGTTTTCATATTATTTCTTTATAAATTCTTTATGAATTTTTATAAAAAAAAAGAAATGGAGAAGCTTTCTTGAAGCTTACATTTTAGCTTTAATTAAAAGCTAAAGGATTAAATTTACTATTTCCAATAAGCAAAATACTCTAGTGTATTTCAAACTGAAATTATATTGATTGGAATCAATTTTTTTTTTTAAATAGCTGATTAGAGCCCTTATTTTAGTTATCTGTTATTACAATGTAATTCTCTGTATTAAAAAATCTTCCAAAAATGAAATATACTTTTCTGAAGCTACATTTGAGGAATATTAGCTGATTTAAAGTCAAATTAATCTGATTTGAAACAAATATTATTTACTTTAAGTTTAAAATAACACAGAAATCTATTTTTAAAACAAATAGTAGCTGTGTTTTTAAATGACATTGCCATCTTTTGTAATTGATGAGGTGATGACAGATCGATTATTGTTCTACACAGACTTACTTATCTGTGAAACATAATTTAAGAAAATGACTTCAGCGCTTTTTTTATATAATTTTTAAGTACTCGGTAATTTTAAAAATGTTGGAAAATTTTCTCCATAATTTAATTTGAGAATGTTGACTTTAAATTTGCTATAGTCATTACTCTTATTTTCTGATAATGTCATGTATGGTCCACCATACTTTAAAAAATGGGCACATTGCATAATATTTTATATACATAAAAAAATTAGAAATTTAAAAAAAAAAATCTTGGTGCAAAATGATTTGTATTAAGCTTTTCAATTTTTGATTAGTAAATATAGTTTTCACTTAATAACAATATCACCCAATGAGATTAAACTAATGTAGTATTTTAAAAGATTAAAAAAAAATTATTATAAATTGTAATTAAAATTAAAAAAAAAAATGAAAAACAGATCTTGTAAAAATTCATTATTCATTGAAAACAAATTTTTTCTTGAGACAATAGTGTTTCTAATAAATCTTATTTATAAAAGCAATTAAAATCTTTTCTAATTAAATAATATCAGTGCATTTTTTATTTTATGATTCAGAGCAGATCTTCTGTAAACAAGTAGGAGTTTGAAAAAAAAATTGATGATTTACATTCCCCAAGGAGTCTTGCCTTTAACTAATAAAAAATTGGGGGATGAAAATTTAATCTTAAAATTTCATTAAATTAAATAAGTTGGTGGGTAACATATGTAAAAAAAAAAAAAAAAAAATCCATTCTCTTGTGAATAAGTCCTGAAAGTTTCATTAAAATCTGACAATTATTTGATTTTTGCAAGAATTTTCATCTTCCTCTTAATAACAACATAAACATTTTGACAATAAAACATTGTTTTTATTAAGTTTGGGTAGGTACCTCTATTAAATTGCTAAAAAAAAGAGCACAGCATGATGAAAAAGATGCCAAACTTAATGAAAACAATTTTATCATCTAAATGTTTGTCATTAAAAGGAAAGAATAAAGTATTTTAAAAAAAATTTCCTTTTTAGAACATTTTAACTTTTGATTAAAAAAAAAAAACTACTAGTGGAACTATTAAATAACATAAAATGTTAGCACGTTTTTTTTCTGTATGACAAAAATTGGAAAAGCTTGCAAAAATAAAAGTAATTGTTGGATGTTAATGAAACTTTCAGAAACTATTCACAAATGATGGAAATTATTATAAATATGTTTTCTTTTTTTAAAGTCATGGCAAAAATATTTTTTTAACATTTATTACTCCATAACTAATTTTATGAAAACTCTATTTGATGAAAAATGAATTTTTACAACAATTATTTGTTATTTCTAAAATTATTTTATTATTTTTTACATTTAAAGTTGTTAAATATTATAAAATTAGTGAAAATGCTGTTCAGTTTAGTCAATGGTGTTATTAAGTAGATCTTCTAGCATTATAAGTTGTATAGCTTATAACAATCAGAAGAGCCACACGGTATTAAAAAAAAAACACTAATTTCAGATGGCTTTTGTGTTCATAAAATGGCTAGTACGGAAGACCAGCAAGAATATAATAAAAAGTTGCGTTATTTGAGTTAAGCGTCATTCTCTGCTGTTACGGCCTTTATTTTTGCGAATTGTATGTGTGAAACGTGTGGAGAAGTTAATTTGATTTTTCAATTTCAACTGAGAAGGGTACCTACTAGTATTAGTATCATCTTATGAAATTTATATGATCTTATTTTTATATTATCTCAGTTATATCTTCCATAAATGAAATATCAAGATTAATAATAAAATGAATAGAATTATAAATAACACAGTAAAATATAATAAATGTCCATAAAATTATAGTATTTTATTTACACTGATAAAATTTCATAAATTAGATACCTTTCTTATGAAATTTAATCTCACTCTCAACAGGCTTATTTTAATATTTTTTTTATAATAGATTTTCCATAAATCATGGTAAATGTAAAGGTGAAAGCTAAGTACAAAAAAACAAAAAAATTAGAGTACTGAAAGTTTTCCTTAAAAATAATGAGGTAAATAAGTTGGTTCTCTTAAAACTAAATAATTATGTCACTTCTGTCTGGTAACTTTACATGTACGTAAGCTGTCAATATGTGATGAAATCATCAATCATCAAGTGACATCAAATGTTAAGACCTGCTTTGTCTTATTTTTAAACTACATTTTTCGGTGCGGAAAGTAATATTTGTTTTGAAATATTTTAAATAAACTTTATAATTTCTAATTTTCTTAAAATAAATTTTGAAAAAAATTATAATTTTTTTTTTTTAAAAGAATTTGAAATAGAGAAAAATGGTTGACATGATTGATTATCTGTCAATTTTGCTGACTCAAAAAAAAAACAAAGTAAAGATTTTTAATGAAAATTTTGGATGTGCTAGGAACTAAAAATACTTTGATCTTACCTCTTAATAATAACAAACATTTAGACAATAAAAAATTATTTTCATCAAGTTTAAGGCCCTTTTTATTCATGCTATGCTCTTTTTTAGCAATCTCATGGAGGTACCTAAATTTGGGGCCTTTTTTTTTGTGTGATGCTGTTTTTTTTTTTTTTTTTTTTTCAGCAAAAAGGTGGTGGTACCTAATTTATATATGTATGTATCTGTAGTGATGGGAATATTTTCTGTAATTTTACAAATGCGGCCAGAATGTTGTGATCATGTTCATAGTTAATATTACTGAGTGTTGCCTTTTTCTTTTCTTTTTTTTTTTTTTTATTAATGCTTCCCTTATTTTTAACCGTTTTTCACATGCAGATGGGGCTATTATGGTTGTATTTTTCATGAGTATATTTGCAGACAGTTTGGTAGGTTTCCATATGTGTCCTATTCCCATCACCATTTCAGGACAAATTTGGTAGTTCTTTGCCAAATGAGCAAATAGTATTAGTGTGTTTTATTTTTTCCCTTAATTTTATCTTTTGCAGAGGAATACCTGATGTTTGCTCATGGTTTGCTTAGTGACTACATCAGTGCAGATCTCAGTGAAAAACTGAGGGAAAGTGTTGGGTGAGTAGATTGCTTCTTGTTTCTTAAAAAAAAAAAAACCCAAAAAAATGGTATTTTTCAAAGGAACTAAAGTCCAGAATCAAAATGATTATTATTTCTTATCATTTTTTGCCATTTTCATTCTGAATAACAAATCAAAATTTTTTAAAAATAGAGTTATCACCCATAATGAATATTATCTAAGAAGAAAATCTATATGAAAAAAAAAGGATTGAAAGCCAATATTTACAAGAAGGGCATCATTTTATTTTGACCTGAGTGCTCCTGACTGGTCAATATAAAAGCACATTTTATCCACTGTTAAAAGGTCCTGTAGTGGAGGTTGGCTGCACATTGAAATGTAAAAGTGCAGGTAGATTGCACACTAAACTGTAAAATGACCTGGTAGACAGCATGCTAAAGTAACACACTAAAGGTCATTTCACAGTGTAGACTATGGAAATTGCAGTGGACCACACACTAAAGTAGTACACTCATGCTGCTGACTATGTCAAGCTATATCTTGTCTAGTTCTATTTTAGTACTGTTTAGTGATTGCTGGTCTTGTTTCCAATGAGTCTGTATTTGTGACAGGAGGCAATATCACCCCAAAATAATAATAATGAAAAAAAGGGATGCTGTGAAACAAAACACCAAGTGAAGAGAGGCGTTTTTGAATAACCAAGATGTTGATATGCTGTAAAAACTTTGAAATATTAATGTTACAGATTTTATTTAGAAAACGAAATACAATTTTTTTTTTTTTTTTTTTTTTTTAAGCATACAAAATATATCAGATTATTAATAGAAGATAGAACTAAGAATGTCTTGATCTAAAGGTTAAATTTATCGATAACAAGACAACATGAATCTATGTAAAGTTTACCAAAAAATGCACAGAGGTATTAATAGATAAGCTTAGAACAATGGCAATATGGTCAGGGTACTGAAAGATGAAGCGAGTGTGAAGTTTTAATTTAGAAGTGTGTAGGGAAATGGGTCAATCCTGTTCCTAATAAAAGTATGTCAGTACGTATGCTCTAAAAAAAACAAATACGTCACCAGTTCTCTATATAAAGATCAGAGTTGTGTTAGTCAGTGAGGAAGTGACGTCAGAGATTGGAACAAAGTTCCTGCTAACATGCTGTTGATATGAGTACCACTTCTCCTGCTACCACTAATATGACTACTACTGTTACTACTACTTAGGACAGGAACATGGATGGTCGTAGTAGTTGCACTAAGAACAGACCAAAAAGGGTTAAAACGAAGCCAGCTCTCTCCTTTAAGACATTCAACATTTTGCCATGAGAATTGTATTATATTTATTGTTAATGTTATATATAAAACTTTTGTCCCTCTAAAATCGTATTGACTTAGCCATATTTATTTGCTGTTAACCTGATTCTCACCCAACAAGCTTACAGGTAGTCCAACGGAGAGCTTTCAGAATTCTATGACCTGATAACCAGTCGCCAGGATCAAAAATCACAACGTGGCTGGTGAGTGGAATCGAATCGACATTTGAAACCAGAGACTTAGGTCTGACCTATAATACTGCATCATACAGGCTGGTCTTGTGGATGACGTTGGCCCAGTGGGGTTAGGATACGGTGTCACATGGACGCCTTGACCAGAGATTATGTTACAACTGACACCGTATGAAATGATCGGCATTACCAGTCCAGAGCTTGAGCTCACATTTATGAAGATATCCAACTCCTGAACCAACTCTTAAACACTTGACATTGTTGTACTGTGGTACAATTCTGAATCTAGAACTGGGAGCTTTAAATTTAATGCTCCTATTGTCTGCTGCCTTGCTGTGTGTTTTTTTTTTTTTTTCACTACTGTCAAACTTGGCTTGCCCCCACTGTTGTTGATCTTTCTTTCTTTATTAATGGCTCTCATAAAGCTGGAAGAGCATAATAGAGCCGTAATTAGGGATGAGACAATGAAATCAAACATGGTTTATCCAGTTATGGAGCAGAAAGAGTTGTCATCAACCAGTATGGAATGAAGTAAAAAATGCTAGGCTATGACAGCTTCTTTACTAGGCCTAACACAGAAATAAATTCATATATCAGAATTATTAAGGAAGAAAAAGATTGCAGGGATAACCAATATTTACAACAAAGGCTTCAGCTGTGATAAGAAAATGACGTGGCAGCCAAAAGCGGTCAAGCATAACAGTAAGGTAGCAGTAGAAGAACATTGGGTTCAAAGATCTCAGTTCTAAAATGCAGTTTCTAGCATAGGGGATCAAAACATTGGTTTGAGAATTTGGTGTTGGTGTGTTCAATCCCTCAGCCAAGTAGTTAAAACTCAGTGGAAATGAGCAGTACTAAAAACAAACAAACAAATTTATCCTAAAGCCAGTGTGGAATGAGAACATAGATTAAATAAAGGGTTCAGATTGAAATTTCCTGAAGGTTTCCCAGATCAACAGATGCTTGAAAAAGGTTGGAACACATAATGGTTAACAAAGAGAATAATGTTAGACTGACTGTAAATTAAAAAAAAAAAAAATTAAAAAAATCGAATTTTTTTTTCTACTTTTATTTAAATACACTTTTTACAAATAGTAAATCATTCTTTGAGATAAATGAGAAATTGTTGTGCAAATAAACCCAAACCTGCACAATGATTGGCGGTTTCACACTTTAAGATCATCTAGTCTGCTGATTGCGTTGATTTATGTTCACACTTAATATCTACATATCCTCTCTTTCCAATATTCTGTGCTTGTTTCCCTTAAAGCAAAGTTTAAACACTACATATAATATTATAAATATTAGTGTCTTAACTAGTATTAGGCTTCACCTTACCATTGATGTGATGACGATAACTGACATATTTTCAACTTTCTTTCTACTTTTTATAGTTTGGAAAAACCTGATGACTCAAAAATTAAATCCTCTGGATCTGAACCTCCCAAAAAGGTAATTTGTATGAGGCAGGATGCTGAAAATTTAACCGCTTGATGAAAAGGGATTTAAAAAAAATAAAAAAAAAATAAAAATTTTAGTCGTTTCGTCAGGCTGAGAACTTTTCAGCACCTTGTTTTCCTGATGCTTGTAATTGATTTATCTTTACTTTTTGGTTACTTTACAGAAGAGTAAGAATTAACACTGCCTCATTTTTTGAATGGAGTTATCTCCCTTAACTCTTTACTAAATCAGTTGTTTTTTCCATCTAGTGTTTCTTTTTGGAACCTTTTTTTTTTTTTTTATATATTGGAGTCCTGAAAAACTTCTTTTTATCAAATTTTTTTTTTTTTTTTTTTGCTATAAACATACAACGTTTAATTTTTTTAATATATAGAACGAATATTTTTAAATCTAATATTTATCTGCATTTTGAATGCTGTTGCATAAAAATATTACAATTCATCTTAGCAAGTGGAGAAGTATTCATTCCCTTTTATAATCCTCATCAAATTTATTCATTTAGCTTAGAAATAGCAAAAAATTGTACTGCTGGTTGTTGTCCCTGATCATGGAAAATTGGTGTTGTCAGAAGTTTCAGTTAGTCATTCTTGCTTTAAAATTTAAGATGCTGAAATATTTTTTTGTACAGTCCAAACTCCAAAATTATTTTGAGTTAATTCATAGTGTTCTAAAAAAAAAAGTACTTGGAATAATCAATTAGAGATTTCAGATGAAAAATATTTTATAAATCTGCAATATTTAACTTCTTTCAATATTTGGTTATTTTCATTTGTTTCCTTTATGAAGAATTCTTATTCAGAATTCCTGACTGTTTTCTCCTGTTAATTGGTAAACTGTGATTATTGTCTGATGTAGATCTATACCAGGCTTAGATTAATCTGGCCCAGGGTCAAAATAGTTGGGCTCCCAGTATGGGCTGAACTTTTAATACCCAAGCAATGATCTCTCTTGAGCAACACGCATTCATTGTGTTTTAAACTTTTACTTTGTATAGATAGATGTAATTATAGTGTATAAAGAATTTTAAATTTTAAAAAAGTTCTCTATACACAATTTTGCTTTTATGAAAGATCTGCATTAGTATAGGTTCTCCCCACTAGAAGTTGTTTCCATTAAATTTACATGGAGAAAAAACTTTGAGCCTTTCTAAACACCCAAAATAACCTTCTTCCACATTTGCCTGCTTTGATGTCAAAGGTCAAAATTAGTTATCTGCTGTGGTTTGATATATAATAGGATGCTTGACTGTTGAGCCTCAAGCAGTTTATATCATATTCTTTGAAGGGTTTCAAAACAGAATCTTTATGCTTTTTCAAAATGAAAGTCATACTTTTCTGTAATTGTAGCAGAGATCTCATGCCAAGTTTTTTTTCTTGGCTTTGGTAATGCTTAATTTTTTTTTCTGCTATTTCAAGTAAATATTTCATAGGAACACAGGTCTATTTTTTAAGAGGCTCAGAGAAAGTTGTATCTGTGCTTATCTAATGCAATTTTCAGGTTTAGGACATTTTTTTTGTTTTTGTTTTATCTGTATCAGCAAAATTAGAAATATTAACATTAAAAATAAAATGTACGTAAAACCATCTCAGTTAATCATTCAGATTTCTTAAGTGTTGTGCTTCAATTTATCAAGTTCTTTTGAAAATACCAATTTGGGAAACTGGGCTCATGAATTGTTCATACACCCAATTTGATCAAATCAGTTCAGTATTTCAAGCAATGACTAAAAACATACAGAATCTTTAACCTTTGTAACTGCAAAAAAGGTTTGTCAAAAGAACAGTTTTTTTTTCCCCTTGATGTTGCTATTATTTTAACTATTTTCACTCCTTGGCAATGTTTGTTGTTTTAAAAAGCAATGATTAGAATTGTAATAAAACCTAAGCATATGAAAGTTAATTTTATACATTTTTTGTTTTTGAGAATTTGCAACAAATATTAAGCACTTTTAGATTGCTGAGGAGTGAAGGTAGTTAAAATAATAACAGTGTCAAGGGATTTGAATGCTGATTCCATTTTCTGCATCACTAACTGTTACACCAATGAATATCTTTTAGCATCAAAAGAATAAACAATAGAGAATATTATCCTGTTTATAAAAGTTTAAAATGACAACTATCAATATGCATTTACAATTGTGGAGTTGGCTGAAGGAGTAATATCATCAAAAACAGGACCAGTGACCAGAATTTAAATCTGGAATTTGAACTCTAATCGCAGGTTCCATTTGTAGTGCTATTAACTATTAGGTCAACCTCACAGTTCTAAATATATATTGATGGTTGACATGTGTAGTTTGTTTTTGCTTTACATATGAATCAACTTTTTAAAATCAGGTCAAGTATTATTCTCTGTAGCTGATACTATGTAATAATTATATTAACTATTACATGTTAATAAGAGAAGAAGTCGGCACCAGCAAACCACCCCTATTGACCTGAGAATTGTCATGAAGAACACAGAGTATTCTTTCAATCTTCTACGTCAGAAAATAATTTCTGATATACCCTCGACTAAAATTATCTCCCCTTGGATATAACTATCTTGTTTGTACCAGCACCGTTTTTTAAAAACCCACTAGTTCTCTTTGTTACTGATTGATGTTTTCAATTGTTATAAAACTCTGTAAGCTATTTTTGTTAGATATTGTTTTTTAAAATTTTGATTATTATTTCGTAAATGTTTTTTTTTCTTCTTGAAAAGTACAGAAAATTAGACAAGAAGAGAAATGGAAGAATTAATTTTACTCTTTTCCATTCAATCATTTGCTATTTGTTTTTTTTTAATCTTATCCTTTTTGCCTACTCTTTGACAGAAAATAAAAATTGAACCATCATCTAGCCCTACAGAAGATTACAGCCAAAAGCAGAAGCCAGTTGAATCTACAAAAGTAATTTTTTTTTTTTTTTTTTTTTAATAACATTATGTTCTTAATATGCATATTAACAAAGACTATAGGTAAGATGCCAGAAAATAAAATGAACAATGAGTGACAAAAATATGAAAAGATAAATTTAATAAACACACACACACACACACACACAATATATATATTTAAAATGGTCTTTATTAAACACTACTGTGTACATTTTGCATTTTTTGTTTTTGTTTTCTGGTCAGTTTTGAGTTGGTAATCCCCCCCTTCCTCATTGTATTGTGAACAAGGTCAAAGATCCAAAGTTATAGGTATTGCCTTGATTGCAAATCATAGAACAGACATTCTCTCTCACATGCGTTTACACGCACGCACACACACACACACACACACTCCTTTCTCATTATGTTTTAGATTGGAACCTCATATATTTTTGATGTTCATTCATCTCCTTTACCACTTGCTCAGACTTTACAAGTCCATATTTTTGTGATTTTTTTTTTTTTTTTTTTTTTTTTTATAGGTTCGTAAACTAAGTGCTGCCCAAAAGAAACTGGACCAGGTTGACAAATCAGGGATGAAAAGCATATCCAGTTTCTTTTCACCCAAATCCAAATCCTGACCACAATTCCAGCCTGCTACCAAACTCCACACAGATCTGTCATTTATCACCAAGGCACCTTTCTAGTTTCCAGTAGACAAAAATATAAACACAACAAATGACTCATTTAAAATGAAATAAAAAATAAAGTTAATGAAGTTTTTATTTTTTTATTTTTTTTTTTTTGGTTAGACATGGACTGCTGTTAAAATATGGATAAATGATAAAACTTTTGACAGCATTAATGCTGTTTATATTAAGGTTGAAAAAATACAAACCTTAAAATACCTTTGTTTTTTATAACTTTGTGAAATGTCTTGTGATTTTGGGACAATTAAAACTTTTTTTTCTTTTCTTTCTTTCTTTTTTTTTTTTTTTTTTTTTTCATATTTGCTGTTGTTAATCTTTTAACTGATCTATTTTCAATCCTTGTCAAGTGTATTTTGTGAGGGGGGGGACATAAAAACTTTTTTTTTTTTTTTTTTTTAAGAAAAAAAAATCCTTTCCATGAATATACCTGACAAAGTCTGAAGAGTGCATCAGTAGAATTTTAAATATTTAAGCTTTTTTTTGCTCACATAACATCTTGAAAGGAAATTCTGTATAAGAGTCATTATGCATCAAACAAATTCTGTCTTTGATGTAAAATTGGTAATATGGAAGCATAATCTCTATCACAAACTTGTATAAAGATGATATTGAGTAAATAATTCAAATTTTAACATCTCATAAAACTATATTCAAAGTTAATTCTTTTCAGTTATAATATAATTATTTGAGGGTAAACATTTATATACACACACACACACACAATCTTTTCCTTAGTGCCATTTTAATACTGGTGCTTGTAGGGGAAGAAAAACGTCTATTTGGTTTATATAATACTGGACATTAGTGACATTGGTGTCTTCATCTAGCTAATGTCTTATTATGTGGGAAGTGTTTTTGCTGCACATTGTATTTAATCATTTTGTTGGTAGGAGTGGGGAGAAAAAGTACATCTTCCTATATGCCATAAATTTATTTTTGTGCTGGATACTTTTCTTTATTTAAGCTGAGTGAATACATCCAGTTTTTTTTTTTTTTTTTATATATTGAAGGCTAAATATATTTGCTCTATAACCCTATGCAGATACGGTTCTCATTTTAAAGCACTAGTTAAAAGCTTGTCTAGTCTAAGTATGCAGAGCAGTTATCTAAATGAGTTCAGATAACTCTGAAAAGTCTGGATCAATTTTACGCAGTATTGATGTTATCAACATTCCTACCCTGCCCCCCCCTAAAATGATTAAAAAAAATCAATCTTTTCATCCTGACAAATGTGCCTTGAATAATGTCTGAGGAAAGCTAATCTATAAAAAGAAAAATCCTTCTTGTGCCAAATCTTCTGTACATCATTATGTCCAAAAAGCTCAATTTTTGTTTCATCACTCCATAGTACTTGTTCCCAAAAGCAGTTTTCTTTTCCAAGAACGCTTTGGAAAAATTAAACCTAGCAGCAATGTGACATGATTTGTAAAGAGGAGTTTGTCATGGTCAGTTTCCATATAACTCATTTCTATTTAAACACTTGTATATATATATATATATATATATGATACCCACTGTATACAAACTTTTGGTGATGTCTTTCAAAACAACTCTTGGGTTTATATTAACCTTGTGACACAGTTTTTGTACAGTTCTTGGTGAAAATTTGGGTTTTTTTCCATGCCCAGCCAAATTCTCTGTCATGCCAAACTGTTTAAACTTCTTTATAACAGACTGTACTGTAGATCTAGAGATAGCTAACTGCCTTGAAATAGTGCTGTAACTATTTCCTGACTTGTGGAAGTTAATAATTTTCTGTCTCAAGTCAACACTAAACTCACTTTGTCTTCCCCATCGTGTTGTTAACGTAAAAATAACAATGGTGACAATCTATGTCCCATGTGATGTTCTTTTCTGGAATTATCACAAATATTCTACTGAATAAATAGTCAAGAAGGCTTCACTATATTATTCATTATGTAAATTACTTATACTTAAATAAATCAACCAATTTAAAACGATATTTTCTAATATACGAATAATTTTGTCTTTTCCTATTTTGCATAATTCGACTGTCAAATTTGTTGTATTTAACCTATTGTTCTGAAAATTGATTTTTATAATCCCTTTTTGTGCTTATTAACATATAAAAAAAGCCCGGCATCATACAGTCATTAGATTTTGAGAAATAGATAAAAATATTCAAAATTCATGGGTGTATGAATAATTTCATTGTTGACTGTATTTTTTATCATTTTTAAACATTGTATTTTGCATGTGTTTAAATATAATGCTTAACTGCCTGTTGCATGCAACCGATTTCTCAGGTTAATTGTTACAAATGGCTTTTAGCGAATGAAATCTGTAGGTCTTAGTAAGGACCATCCTTTGACCTCGTGGGCTGGCGCTACATAATCACACTGTACCAAATAACAGAAACCACGTCAATTGAGGACTTTCAGCAGCAACTAAGACAGATATCACATGTAAAATGAAGAGAAAATAATCAAGATGTTGACATTCCACACCACTTCAAACAAAAAGCTAGGAAGGAAGCAATCATCATTGCTGGAAAGAGTGATAACAGCTACTAGACTTGAGAAACCTGTTTTCCTGAAAAATTCTTTTAATAGAAAGATTTCATAAATTTCAACCCAAAGCAGTACTGGCATCTTGGTTATTAAATACCGAATGTTTCCTTATAGGAAAACGTCTAATATTGCTATTTATTAAGGTAATAAAAAATGTTTAAATCCTTAATATATATATATATATATATATATATATATATATATATATATATATATATAAATAATGTGTGTGTAGAAAGTCTTCAGATCTTATGCAATAAAGTGGATTTAGATTTGTCGCCCACCTGTCGTCCTCGTCCTTTGAATTCAAGTTTCATGAGCCACCTGAGATCTTCCTTGGATCGTAGATTTGTTTTTAGTTACCTCCTTCCAGGTATAAGGGTCGTTGAAAAAGTTCTAAGCCTCACCCAGAAAGAGTTGGAGAAACAAAATCAGTTTTTCACTATTTTTCAATATAGTCACCCGCCTTGACATTAATGCACTTGGTCCAACGATATTTAAGCATTTCAATGCGATCATGGGAAAAGGTGGTGTGTTTGGTCCTTCAAAAACTCCCCACAGCAAATATGATCTCACCATTGCTTCCAAAATGGCGATCACGCAGGTGGGATTTGAGTTTAGGAAACAAAAGGAATCAGATGGAGCTAAGTCTGTCGATTAAGAGGGTAGCAATTCAAAGTAACAATTGGCTGCTTAAGCTATTGCAACCCAAGCAGTGTAGACGGGCGCATTATCCTGGAGCAAGAGCACACTTACCCTCAGCTTCCCTCTGCCTTTTGACTTGGTTGCTTTCTTCACTTGTCTTAATTCTGATGCATAGTACTGACAATTAATAGTTTTTTTTCCAATATTCCAGGTAGTCTATCATGATTATACCTTCAGAATCCCCCCCTCCAAAAAAAGAAAATAGAAGCCACTACCTTACCAACAAACGCTACTTGCTTTAATGTCTTTGGAGTTGGAAAATCAGTGTTTTCACTCTTTGCTTTGAATCTTTGATTCAGGTTCGAAGTGGTGAACCCAGGTTTCATCTTGAGTTACTAATCTGCAATGGAAATTTTTACGGTCAGTCTGGAAGCGATACAGAAGTGTTCTGGAAATGTCAATCCTTTTTAACTTCTACTCTGGTGTCAACATTCTTGGTACTCATCTTGCAGACAGCTTGCTTATTCCCAAGATCTCAGTTAAAACAGTATCGACCGAAATAGAACTAATGCCTAAGGACTTAGCTATCTGTTGGACAGTAAGTCATCCAAAACCATACGGTGAGTGGTATGAAATTGTTCATCAGTGGTTGAAGTTTTTGGACAACATGACCGGGGGTCATCTGTGCTGTCCTGGTCCCGCTTGAATTCCACAGCCCACTTCTTGACTGTTGCATAGGAAAGGGAGTCCTTAGCAAGTGTGTACGATGTACTCATGGATTTTCTTGGGTGTCGTATCTTTCTTTTGCATATACTTCATAACTGATCGGGTCATTTAGATTTCTCGCTCACCTTTCACCTTTGTAAGGACCTCACCAACACAGGAATTAAGGCAGAAATCTGAATTAGTTTTTCTAGTTTTATAAGAAGTGTTAGTACGTTGCAACAACAAAAATGTTCAGCTATGGCTCTTCTTTCTGGGTGAGGCTTAGGACTTTTTGAACGATCCTCGTCGAAGGCCATGAAGAGATATTCTAAAATTCCTCGCGAAGTAGACCTCCGCTGGGCAGTTCATTTGTCAAAGATGGAAGACTGTCATTTTCTTAATGTTTGATGAATTGTCCATGGTTCAGTGAGATAGATTGATGCCTCAGAATTATTGGAGAAAACATCCAATTCAAAAGTCATCGCCAATCACCAATAAACAATATAAACGTCTCCCAGAAAAAAAAAACAAAAATAAACATGGCAACAGTCTCTCGCTTTCTTTTTTAACCAGTATTGTGGAGAAGAGACAGAAGCTTAAAAACAAAGTTTCATCAGAGATTTATTCTTATCCTACTTTTAAAATTTATCCTGCTGTCGTTTCGATAGGAAATACCTGCCCAGCATTGGCTTCATCAGCCACCAGCGAGCCTGTTTCAAAGAGGAACTACGCCATAAACGTTTGCAAAGACTAAACTCATAAACGAAACGTAATCCGGCAGTATGCACTAAAAATATTAATGTTATGGTACATGTATGGATGTGATACGATAGGCGTCAGTGTTGAATGACTGTCTTTCTATAACATAGTTACATAAAACTGTAGAGTAAGTTTCGTTTTTGGTTTAAATTCTAAGTAATCGCTGTTACGAGTAGGATTCGTCACAATTTTTTGATATTTGAAATTTAGGATGTGAATGGAAATTCATTTATTTTAATAATACCCCCCCCCAAAAAAAATAAAGGATATATTTTCTATTTTATACTGTTT